ACAATTTGTCGCTGACTAAATACTTTTTTTGCCCCACCATATGCATTTGAATACATTTTGAATGCTCCGTAGGGTCTGCAGCACAGGTCTGCAGTATGATGATAAATGCTTTATGACTTAACAAAACAAAAACATTTAGCAAGATCCACTGCAGTCACTGGTGTATGCTGCAGCAACTGCAAGTCCAGGTCAGGTCTGTGCAGCCTGGCCAACTCTTCAGAGTCTCCTGCTGGGGCAGATGGCGAGTTTGTCCTGACCTTGCAGGAAGTTAGCCGGTGTCCTTTCTTTGCTCCATGATAGATAGATTGTTAAACGATCTTTGGATGGATGTTTGACAAACTGCTGACATAAATTCGAGTGTACACTGCTTTATGTTACTGGTTGAAATGGTTATTGCAGTAGTGGGGCTGGTGATGTGGCCACGCCCAGAAGATATAAGTGAGGTGTGATCAACAAAAGCACATTAAATCTAGTTCAACATTTTTAAAAATTGAATATATAGAAAAAGCAGTTGAATTAAAATGTATGTGACTCCCATAACTCTCTAGGCTCCCTCTCGTACCTCCCGGTTACCATGGTTCTGCAGCGTTTGGCAGTGGCGGGCCGTGCATTTCAGACCTGCGCCTGCAGTGATGTCCTAACCCAGCAATCCCCCCCCCCACACAGACAGTGTGCCTCCTGTGTTAAGGCACATCGCACACGCTGACACACATGCATGACGCACACGCATGACACACTCGTGCACAATGCGTAACTTTCTCTCTCTCTGACAGTATCTGAGAACATGACCAACCGCAACAGAGCGTTCAGGACCCAGTTTTGAGCATTAATGTGGGAAAGTCCAACTACAAGTATTGGATGGAGTTTTGTTACCGGTGGTGAGGCAGGACGCGGCGCCGTGTCTTCTGCATTGCCTAGCTCCGCAGGTTAGCCTATTCCCAAGGGCAAAAATCCTGGCTCTCCTGGTCCTGGCTCTCCCGGTCCCTCTGTCTCTGTTCTTCTTGAGAAAAACGTTCTAACTATTTAGTAACCAGAACGATGTATTCACCTTCTTCAGCCGGAGAGCTTGTCGTGCTACACATATTAGCATTTCTGTTTGTTTCTGTGGATCACATTAACCTGTCTGCTCTTCTATGGGATGCACCATAGACTATAATTGACGTCTTGTGTATCCAATCAGAAGACACGCTTCCCTGGGGCCTGCATGCAGGCCCTGAACTGGGAGACTTGACACTGATTGGTTAATGCCCCGAGTTCGTTTTCATTGCTCAGGCCAGCAATGTAGAGTCTGAAGGCCTAGAGGCAGATTCTGGGACATAGTAACACATGACGCTGAGCAATGATTGAATAAAAACTCTGTAAGTAAGTAAGTAAGTAATCTTTATTTATATACCGCCTTTTCACTGTACAGTAGATCTGAGTCTCAAAGCGGTTTACAATTGTTATTTTTGGGCATTTGTCTCTCACTTCACACAGAGATGAGAGTGGGGTCGCCAGTACAGGAGGCGCATGCCAGACCTATTGTATATTTTAGTGGGAAACCGGAGTACCCGGAGGAAACCTGCGCAGACACGGGGAGAACATGCAAACTCCACTCAGAAAGGCCCTGGTCCGACCGGGATTCGAATCCAGGACCTTCTTGCTTATATATATATATACATATATATATTTATGTATATATATATGTATATATATATATATACAGTATATATGCAATCATGTTTAGGCCAGAAGAGCAGGCCTTGCAGGCATTGAGGGTCCGCCACTGGCGTTTGGGCCTCCGAGTCTTCTTCCTTGTTACTGGCTCCTTGCAGCCTCATCCTCATGCATCTCCTGACTCCCACACCATCTACCACACATGCCATATCTCCCCGGGACATACAGCCCTGGCTTCCTCCTTAGACCCCTTGTTTTTTGTGTCCTCTCTTTCCGTCCTATTTAAGATTGCGCCCTTTTCTCCTCCAGGCTGTCAGTGCAGGTTAATGACAATTTTCCAGATTCAAAAAAGAAGATGTCACTACTGGGTTTTTGTATTTGTTTATATGTGAGAAAGTTATAAAACGTTACAAACAGAAGGAATGAGGAGCACACAATTCAAGATACATTATTAACAACTCTATACTAAAATAGAATAGAATATACTAAAATCTCTAACTCTAGCATAAAAAGAAGCAGTATAAAATCTCTATCTTTAGCATAATAAGTAAAGATGTCAAAAATCTCCAACTTTAGCACGATGAAGATTCTGAAATTCTGAAATGATTAAAGTTGCCATTGCACAGCTGAAGGAAGTAAAGTGACAGTGTCACATGTAGTTCCATATTGCACACTCTGACATTAGTTCATTTTATTGCACAGGTGCATGACATGTGAGGTCAGGTTGCTGTTTGTTAGTCCTCATTGTTCGTTGTACAGTCTGTCATCCAACGGGAGCATGGATAGAACAGAATCATGCACGCTATCTGACTGTATTACACACCACTATGGAGCTCTTATCTTTGATTACAGCAATACCAAACATGCTGAATATGCACTTTCTACATCACTCTACATGAATAATACATTGACGTTACGTATTTCTAAAGACAGCAAGATATTGTTGGGCGAAAAGTGTTGCTGGTCCTTCAGTCTGTGGGAATTAATCTGAGATTTTATGTGTCGGTTTGAACGGTTTTGAACAACATTTGAAAGGCCCTGTCATCTTAAATAAATTAAACTAAACTAATTACTATCATATAGTTCCTTGTAAAAGTGTTAATACAGCTTGAACGTTTGCTCATTTTGTCATGTTTAAATTTGTTCCTTAGAAGTGTTTTTTATTCTTTATTTTTTATTATCTCTTTCTGACTGTTGCACTGAGCCAAAGCAATTTCCAAGTCTATGACTTCCTGTTACTTACGTGGCAATAAAAATGATTCAACCATAAAAAAAACTTAGATTTTCTGGGGAAAGACCCAAAGCATTGCTGTTCACAAAGACTCTCCATCTAATTCGACAGAGCTCAAGATGTTTTGTAAGGAAGAATGTGCTGAACTGTCTATCTCTGGATGTGAAAATCTTGTAGAGCTATACCTCAAAAGACTTGCTGCTGTTATTGCAGAAAAAGGGCATTCCACATAGTATTAACTCTACATGCTATATGAATACTTGTGTTGGCCCTACTTTTCACTTTTCTATTTTCAAAATAATCATGTAATCATGAATCATGAGCCGCGTTTCCACCGCAGCAGTTCCTGGTAAAAGGAGCGGGGTGGAACTTTTACAGGAACCTTCCTCTCCCTCGGTCCTCTCACACTGCAGAGTCGCCGAGTGGGACGTCATATGAGTTTCGATTGCTGCATTTGCAAAACTCATTACGCCAAACCCGTTATATTAGATCCATGTGCCAAACCCATTTGTTTATTTTAAGTTCGTGACCGCTCCGGTTGTTGTGGTCTTTGAGTTTTTTTATTGTCCTGCTTCAGTTTTCTAAAACTTTTAACGGCTTGTTTTGGAGTGCGATGAATCCCCAGTGCTTCGAGGTGAAGCTGATATGTCTTAATATATCTTTTCATTTCGCCGCGATGCCTCAAACCCCGTCTGAATCAATGCTGTGCTGTTGTTCGCTATTTCCAGTGGTGTCTGCTATGCTAATGCTGCTAGGCTAACGCTGCTGGGCTAATGCCGGTTGTTTTGCTGCTTTCTGCTGGCGTCTGAGCGGTCTGAGCCTGCGCTAGCTTTAGCCAATCAGCGCCAGGTTAACCTCAAATCCCACCAGGGCCCAACAGAGTACCTAGCATGGAGGAGGGACTCCGTTGGGCCCAGTGGGGGAGGGTCCCAGCTCAAAAGTGGCCAAAATGACGTGCGCTGACATGCTTGCAATACCACCTCGGGCCGATGGGGGTGGACCCAGAAGTAGAATTAGCCAATGCTAACATAGCATTGGCAGACCTCTCAAAAACGTCTTTACAGGATGGACCAAAAGTTGTCTCTTGGCCCAAAGCTCCGTTCCACATGTGTGTCAATGCTGAGGGGGGTGGATTTTTTTGGTCCACTCTACTTTACTTGCTGTGAATTTTTTAAGTCTCTCGTTCAAATGAATGGAGTTGCGCCGGCTGACGCATGCGCAGATGCGTTTTTTCACAATTTTCTTGTGGGTGGGACCACTCGCGGCCATTTTGGATTGCTCCAGTAGATTCAGATTCAGATCAGATCCAGATTCAGATTCAGATTCATTTATTTGCCATTTGCAGTAAAACCACATAGGAAAAACTGCGCAAGACTACCCCGGTGTGCACCGGACAGAGAAGACGACACACATCAGAGCTCTTGCCACGGCGCCATCTTTACGGCGCCATGCGACTATTTTATTTTATTTATTTATTTTTTTCAGAGTAGAGCACATTTTTTGGCCCATTAGTTAGAACGGCAGAGATAGGCGTGACTCTGTCCATTAATATATACAGTCTATGGTTGGGCCCCGTAAAAGTTCCTGTTAATGGCCCTGTGGGGATAGTTCCTGCAGTGGAGACACGCACCGACGATGGCTGGGCCTGGAAAAATACCCTGAAGTTCCCGCGGTGGAAACGGGGCAATATATCCTTTTACTTTCACTTCACAGTTGTCTGTTACTTGTGTGACATGACAAATGTGCTCAAAGCACACATGTATGGACAGAGGGAAATAAAAAAATGATTAAGATACATTTATTTCAACTTTTTTGTTCAAAAAGATGTTGTTTGTCACAACTCAAAAATATATAACCTGATGCTTTGTAACACACATTTGATTCCATGTACCAACAGATTCACACACCTTGCTACATTCACTTTTTTTTACCATGTTAATGAATGCAGAAACCAAAAAAAGTTTATAAAAAGAGTGAAGTATCTAAGTCATAAAATATATATATATACTGTATATTTATATATATACATGTATATGGGGCAGTAGCTCAGTTGGTAGAGCATTGGCCTTTGAGCCTGTTGCAAAGTTTTCTAACACGGTCTTGTCCATTGCAGTGGTCCCCTGCTGAGCCTAGAAGACGGGACATCGCCATGCGCACAGACCGTGGAGGGAACAAAGAGAGAAGGTCTCAGCGAGTACGAAAACACCAATAAGCAGGTATGTGTGTGTGTGTGTGCGCGCGTGCATGTGCGCGTGCATGTGTGTGTGTGTGTGTGCATGGGGACTAGGGAACAGAATTATTAGGTGTCCCGGGAAGGGGAAAGATGACCCTCTTCCCCATTTCCGTCCAGTTCTTTTCTTCTGTTGGGATTGCAGCAAATCCACAGCAACAGGAACGCCGAAACGAGATGCAAGGTTGTTATGGTAACGAATAATAAGCTCGGCAGACAGGGAAAGATGTCTGATGCTGGAGGCTGGAGGGGAGGAGGGGGGGAGGAGGGGGCCGCATTGGATGTCCTCTCACTCACACCCGCGATAAGTTCATGCCCACTTACTTTAAGGATAATGTAACATGCAAAATGGACTGGATTGTCATTTTTGAAGAAATTCGTGTTTGAGTCCTCTGTGGCAGACAGAAGCTCTTTATGTCCTTTCTCACTGTATATAGAAAGATGCGGGGCGTAGTACTACTAGCACACGTCCAAATGTACGTGCGGGAAGCAGCAGAGAATTCACACCTTTTTCTTCACGTGGGTGTGAAAGAGCGCCCCGCTGAGCAGCGTATCTGAGTTGTCCCACTCTGGCTGAGTTTACACGGAGACATGGTTGCCAACCGTCCCTTGAAATACGGAATTGTCCCGTATTATAGAAAAACTATGTGCATCTCGTATTGAACTGATACGGGACGGCTTTTGTCCCGTATTTTCAGAGCCACCTTAAATGCATCACTTACTCACTGCATGTCACACGCACACATGAAGTAATCACAGTTTAAGCGTCTACCTTTCGGCCAATCAGTGTCAAAGGGGCGTAGGCTCGATCATATACATTGGTTTAATGCATAGACTGTATATGTTTAATGTTGCCATTTGCCAGCATGGGCCATGTCCGCAGCAGCAACACGGCAGAAGTTGGGCAAAGTAGCATCATTTCCCAGATTCGGACTTCCGCAGTCAGTAGCTCACGAAAGCTACTTTGTTAAACAAAAGGAAATGTGCTAAAATGATCATCTCTAAGTTGATTTTTCAAATCCAATGCGCTGTTTTAATGCAGAGAAATCCATTTAATCCAATGCACTGCAAGGTCCGAGAAAAGTGCTTAGGGACCGTCAACAAATGTTCAGACCAGCTTTGTAAACGAACAATAGCTTTTACTGAGGCCATGTACACGCACTAAACTCTCAGGCAATGTCAATAATGGCCATATCTAACTGCTACAGTATAGTTGGATGTCGGTTTCTACCAACCGTTCACACGAAGACTGTGTTCCAGGGGGGTCAAAACGTAAGTGATCCAGCCTGCAAAGTGGGACAACTCAGATACGCTGCACAGCGGGGAGCTCTTTCACACCCGCGAGAGGGAAAAGGTGTGAAATCCCCCTCTGCTCTGACCCCCACCTCCGCGCTGCTCCCCGCACGTACATTTTTACATGCGCAGTAGCGGAGAACAAACAAAAACAACAAGGGCGCAGCGCGCACTAACTAGCTACGTGGGCTTCCAGCGCGGCACAGAGGAAGATTCTACTCCTTCGCTCGTCCAAACGAGACCACGCGAAGCTCAAGGTTCAGTTCCCATTTTCACAGCTGCTGTTAAAATGCAGAATGATGTTGGTACGTTCTGAGGGTCTGGTAACGGAAGTGAGTACACTGCCAAGAGGGGGTCTGGGCACGGGGCTGGGGGTCGTGTGTCGTGTTGTAAAGTTTCTCTGTCCACTACTGGCCGGGTGCTAGAACTACATCGTTTTTCAACCTCATGTGAACGCTGAGAAATTTGCATTAGGAGCCAGGTCGTTTCTGTTAATAGCCTGGAAACGTCTGCGCAGCGTCTCAGTATAAACAGGGCCTCTGTAGGCTGGATCTTAACGCTTAAGTTTTCACCCCCATGGAACACAGTCTCCATGTGAGGTGGAAGTAGCAACCGATATCCCCCCCCCCCCCCCCCCCCCCCCCCGGCAGTGTACTCACTTCCTCTGTGAGACGTGGAAGAATGCACCAACATCATTCTGCATTTAACAGCAGCTGTGAAAATGGAAACTGAAATTAGAGCTTTGCGTGGTTTCGTTTGGACGAACGAAGGAGTACAATCCTCCTCTGTGTAGCGCTCGAAGCCCACGAAGCTAGTTAGTGTACCTGCTGCCATTGGTGTTTACGTTTGTTCTCCGCTACTGTGCATGTCCAAATTTACGTGCGGGGAGCAGCGGGGAGCAGGGGGTCAGAGCAGCGTTTATGAGCTGTCCCACTCTGCAGGCTGGATCTGAACACTTACGTTTTCACCCAACCGGAAAACAGTCTACGTATGAACGGTTGGTGGCAACCGACATCCAACTATAGCGTTTTACTGCCACATTGTCTCAGAGTAAACGGCCCCTCTGTCTAAACGGGGCCTTCATGTTAAGATGAAAATGACATGTACATTTTTCCATTGTGAGATCAATAAAGTTTATCTTATCTTATCTTAAGTGTATACATACATTTTTAGATTAGCAAGAGGAAACAGTAAACACGAAGTGCTGGGATCCATTTAGAAGAGAACATGGCAAGAAAATGTTCAAAGCCAATAGCCTCAATCCCACTGTGCAAAAACACTGGAATTTTGAGAAAAAACCCTGGGACACACTCAGCAACACGAGCTGGTGTGTTAAAGTGACTCTACATTAAACCTACCTTACGACCTCGTGTCTGTGTCCGAAGTGTGAAATTGCATCTTTTTCATTGTGTGGACTTTCATTTCCCCAGTGTCTGAATGTATTCCCAGATTATAACATCCAAAAACACAATGCTGCATTAGCATTTTAGAAAATTCTTCATCCTCAATTTGAGGCCATCTGGTCATCTTACATTGATGAGTTTTGTTTTGTAGTAAAGCATTTGATACAATGTGTTGGAGCCCTTGTGAAAACATTATAATAGTCCTTTGGATTGTTGGTGCATTTCCCAGTGTGCTGAGTGGGATGGTCCATCTGCCCGTGTGAAGTGTGTGTTTGGCCCATTTAAAGGGATGCAAGTATATAGAATTTGTAGTTTAAGAAAAAATACATATGACAAAGGCGTAGATTGAGCGCTGTGGAATGTTACAGCAAAAGGTTAATCCGAAGTTTCGATTTCTCTGTTTGTTAACAAAGAACTACAACTGCGAGCTTACCAACATTGCTTCTAGCAGCAGGCCCCTGAGCTCACGTCCTGTGCATGTTATATACACATTTAAACATAAATAAAGTTTTATTAGTTTTCCCAGCAATTTTTGGCTGTGAATTTGACTTTGTTGAAAGCCCCGGTGCACATATGCAAACGAAACGTCAGAAAAAACAATTGAATACAGGTTCTCATACACAATTGTATAGCCAGTTCTCCAAATTCTACCAAACATTCTAATGTAGTATAAGGGCCACAGCAAATTTAGCAATAAAAATACAATAACCGCGGTGGAATATCTTTAGCGCGAGGCGTCCTTGATTTGAGTTTCCGTGACAGGCCGGTTGTCCCCTCTGATTTCCACTGTGGGATGTGGCAATGCTGTTTGCAAACGGCTGCACATGAAAAGGGGTCTGAGGAGGCAGATATTGGGACTGAGGCGCTCTGAGGAGAAGAGCGCGTCACAAGTCATCCGTCCTGCTCCTCGGTCCATCAGGCAGCATTAGGGGCTAAATGATGATCGATGATCCTTTCTCAGATGTGAGCCGGTGATTTCGACTGCTTTTAAACACTGGGCCGTACATTCTCACAAGAACAGGAAGAGAAGCACAGCTGATGTGTTTTCTCTATTTGTGAGGAGGGCAAAACAGAGCGCTCTGAGGTAACTTGATATTTTGCAAAGGTGAGTTAGGGAATGAATCTTTTAAACAGCTTTTCCATATTATGTAATCGATGTTTAGCCTTAAAGTAAATACACATATCTTTATGCTATGATTTTTTTTTCTCTCTCTTTTTAGCTTTCTTTTTTGTGTGTTTCTGGTGTAATCATAAAATTACATTAGTAGGAAAGATTTATCTGGGAACATTTGCTCAAATTTGGCCATACTTGCATGCGATATCCAGATCCCGCCCAATTTCCAAAGCTGTGCAGGGTAGGGCCTGGTGAGTACTGTGATGGGAGACCTCTGGGAACACCAGGTGCCACAGTCGGGCGGTTGCAGCTGTAAAGTGCCAAACTGTCGTTGCGTCCTTAGGCAAGACACTTCACCCTCATTGCCTAGAATGAGTCTGGTATGTGTGTGAATGGTTGGTTGCGGTTGGAGGGGCCGATGGCACATACTGGTTGCCTCGCTTCTGTCAGTGTGCCTCCGGGCAGCTGTGGCTATAATAGTAGTTTATCACCACCGTGTATGGAGTGAATGAATAATGACATGTGAAGCATCTTTAAGTGTCCAAAAAAGTGCTATATATAACCGGTGCATTATTATTTTCTTTATCATTGTCAGAGCCTCCAAAACACTGCATGGTCATGTGTCATTCTCATCATTTCCAAGTATTTCAGATTTTTCAATTGAAAGGGCAACATCTGAGGATATGACACATAACCAAGATAAAATATAAGAAATAAATCAAAGTCGGTCCAGAGTCATAAGACATGTTAATCGGTGACATGCTTTTTGTGGTTCTTTTGAAAGACAAGTTAGATGTATGACCTTTTTATCATTTTTCGGCCGCAGTGCTGCGAGCCATCTTTAGAATGGTCATCCGCCTTGGTGATGTCTCATTTATCAGCGGATTACTTCCGTAGAAGGCGTAATCAGATTGATTGACCTGGCAGGTCGCTCAGACTGACCATGCCCCTTCTCGCCCTCTGGTCTTTTGGGAGGGTACCCCATGTGTGGGACAGGAGGAATGCTCCTTCATCTCGGTTAATGCTGTTGTTGTCCCGCTTTCTGATTTCAATGACCTCCTTGATCCAGAGTTTGTATATTTGTCTGAGACCATATTGTGGATATTTCAGTGATCTGAAATGGCTGATTTTACGTTTTCCTGGTTGTGTGTAATGCCCGCCCTGTTTCCCCTATGT